ATTTGTTATAATCTCCCTGTGAGGAAATTACTAATATTACTACTTAATACATCCTTTGCAGTTTGCACTTGCAGAGTGCTTAAAAATTCATCTGTGGCCGTGAAGAAATGACCATTTGTGCTGTTCTTAGCAGGAAGCAACGAAGCAGCCCCAGAGCACCTGTGTGCACTCGGTGGCATGGACATGGGCCTCAAGCTTTAAGTTCTGTGGCAGCCACATAGGCCGTGTTGCTTTTAATTCCAGCTGAATAATATAATGATTATATGTGAGACGTTTTAATGTATTATTCTAATCTCCAGAGATTGCAGTTCGTAAACAATAAATCAACTCAATTATAAAACTGCCCCTCCAAAAACAAAAAAAAAAAAGGCAACATTTTAATTTAGTAATTTTCACTTGGAAGGCACATACAACAAGCAGACTGGAAAATGTTAAATGTGCTCTGGCAGTTGTAGAAAAAAAGTCAACTGGTATAAACTAGTCCCCTATTTTTGGAGTAAGGACTGTTATAAGGTTCCTTTCAACTTACTTTTCAGCCAGTAATCTACTCCTCAACCAGAGCCTGTCTATGTGGCCCTGTTGGGAAAGAGTATTTCTATATCCCTATATTGATAGATTGTGGTTAATATTTAACCTAAAATTGTAATCAGAATGTAATATGTATACTATGATAGATAAGTGATAGATAGATAGATAGATAGATAGATAGATAGATAGATAGATAGATAGATAAAACTACTTCTCTTCTAACAGAAAACATTGGAGAGGAATCAACTTTCAACAAAGTTGTTAAGATTTGCTGCAGATAACCTTAACCTTAAACCTGGACAGGGGGGAGTGTTAAGGAGGAGGATATGAGTGATAATAGTCAGGACAACAGCTAACATTTTTTCAGGCCTTATTTTATGCCTGGTACTGTGCTGAGTTTTTTGCGTGTATCATCTTATTTGGTCCTTTTAACAATCCTATTGTTCCTGTGCATATGCAGAAGTTTTAATGGAAAGAGTTGAGTATTTGCTGGAGTTTATGCAGCCAGTTGTGCTGGAAGTGGGGAGAGGAAAAGGCAAGCGTTACTTCAGAGCCTCTCTCTTTACTTTGTGCATCTGAAAGTCCAAGGAGACCTTAAAGTCACCTACCCAGCCTCTCGTGGCCCTTTATCCCAGCCCCTCTCCTACCCTCCCTGACATGCCTGCACACATGTTTTGTAACTGAACCCCCTCCCCAGCTATCTGTGTGTAGAATAAACTTCTTTGAAAAGTGTTCTTTTGTCACTCCCAGGATTGTTCAAGCATGAAATAGACCAGTTATTTTCAACTATTCCTTTCAACCAGACCACAGCATAGTTGATTTGATGTTTGAAACTAATTCAGATTGCTACGTGGTTTGTTTGAAATAATTATCACTATTGTTTGTCCAAATGTGGTCACTGGGGTGGTGCACAAATTCTTCTGCAGAGACCTAAACAAATTATATTGATAAAAGCAAACTTCTCTGATCAGCCCTCTGCTCCTCCAACACCACCCCATGGGCACGTCCACTTTTGAGCACCAATGGGGCTAGATGAGTGGCTCACAACCTTGTTTGATTATACATTCCTACTAGTTAGAAAGATTCTACCTACACTAAAAGATGTGTATACTTATTGATATACAAATGATATAACAATAATAACCTTTATTGAATGCCTATTCTATGCCAGGCTCTGTTCTAAAAACTTTGTAAGTGTTGACTTACTGGTGATACTTCATAGCAGCTCTGTGAAGTAGGTATTATTAACACCATTTTACAGATAAGGAAGTTGAGACATGAAATGTTAAATAATTTTCCCCGGGCCACTTAACTAGCAAATGACTGAACCAAGCTTGAACCCAGGTTGTCTGACTCCAGAGTCCATGCTCTTATCAACTAGACCACAGCTGCCTCTCTGTGTGTTACTCTACTAGCAGATTATAGACTTTATGGAATATACGAAAAATAGAAATTTTAAAAGAATGAGATGCACATTGGTAATACTTGATTGAACAAATGAATAAAATATTTCCCTGGGATGAGCAATGTAGGAATTTCAAGCAGCCTGAGAAGCCAATCCAAGAAATAATATAGGACAATGAAGCTTTGCATAGTCATATTCAAAGGGATCAATACTTTAAACTCTGCTGTATATTTCCTACCTAATGTGCAGTAGAAAGTTGAACAAGTACCTTAGTTGTTGAACAAGTTGAACAAGTTACTTGTTCAACTGACAATGGGAATTATGCAAGTCCAAAATAATCCTCCATCTTGCTCAATAAACCATTTGTTTTCCAGATAAGTGTCTATTTCACTTTGTCAGTTGATCCATAGTCCTTAGGTCTTACCAAACAATAAGGAAGCACTGGAGCACAGCACGGAGTGATTGATTTGGTGTTTTAAACTAAGTCAGATTGCTGTTTGAAATAACTGTGACTTGTCCAAATGTGGCCACTGATGTGGTCAACACCTGGTCAAAAGTTTCTGTATAGGGCTTTTCAGGGGCTGCAACTGGTTGAAGGGGGCCAGGCAAGCTAAGGTGCCCGTGTAGAAGTTGCCTTTGCATGACTTCCTAAGACTGAGCAACAACCAGTGTTCTGCCTCAAAACCTAGAGGATCTGACAGGGATGAGACCACACCTTGACAACTGAGCGTGATTGAAATTCTGAATACTCTGAATACTGATGAAATATACCATAGAAAGGAACTTTTATTTTCAACATATACCAGTATGACATGTTTCAGGTTTGCTATAATTGGAGCTGCTTTTAAGCCCAATTACAAATGCCCATTTTTTACTTACACGGAATATATACCACCTGGGAATTTAGAATCTTTTATTTTCCAAAGTGTTGCTCTGCAAATATGGATCTCTTTTAAGATCAGGAGTCCATAGGAGATGGAGTTGGCCTCATGTAAGTAAGATGAGCAGGGGACAACATAATTTATGAGCTGAACTAACAGAAGGGCGCTGAGTCGGGGTTTGTTAAACTAATCTTATGGCTGGCAAGGATGACATGTCAGATGTTTCGGTCATTTTAAATACCAAACCATTTCCATAAATCATTTTTATAACGTTAAATACATTATATAGGTACAATACCAATAGATGGTGTGTTTAAATGTGCCAGGCACATCCGTTTGCTTCACTACATACTATGTCGCCCATTTCATTTTCCAGAGATGTATTCATCAGATTATTTTTTATGGGCTGTCCCATATTTTAGTTTTATTCTTGCAGTCTTGTTTATTGGTGCTGTTATGCTTATTTGATTCTTCCTTGTACATACACATTCAACCCATGTGAATATCATCATAGTATCTCTCTCTTCCTTCTTGCATAAAAAGCAAAAGGAATCTCCTTTTTTAATACATCTGTCAATGTCGTACAGTGAGAAAAAGTACACACGATGTAATTGGGGCTATTTAGTATAAAAACTTCATCTGAAACAGCTGTATTGTATGAGATAATGTGTTGTATTTCAGAATATGTAAGGTTGAATTTCTTTACTGTTTGAATGCTATACTATCTTCTTTTTTCCCCTAAACCTCCCCTGTTTAACAGCAGACAAACCCAGGGAGCACTGAATGAATCTGATGATCCTGAAACAGGCTGTCTAACTGATAACAAGCCAACTTCTCGACACTTCTATCCTGTCGCCTTGCTGCTTGTCAGCTCACATCTGCTAGTTGTGTGGCTTATTTTAAGTCTTGCATTACTATTAGCCAAATACCAATAAGTTTTACGTTGTATTCCTTTCTTTTCTACAAATGACAATGGACTTTAAATTATGAGGACAATGCTGTAATATTTCTACATTTTCAGATCCACATAATTTAAAAGAAAAGACAAATGTTTGAATTGTGTTTCTTTGTTTTTCCTAAAATCTAAAAGAAAGAATTACTATGCATTCAGTGAATTATTTTGCTCTTTTGTTCATGGAAAAGTGTTTCCCACTGTTAACTAGCTCAAGAAGAATTTTTAAATTACTGTCTTTGGAATAAGACAAAGAACAGAATCCTGAAAGCTTGAAGTTCTGCACCTCCTCTTCCTCTTCCCATTAAATTTATTAAAGAAATTAAGACTGAATTTGCACAACACACTGAAACTCGGAGACAAGTCCTAGAGATGTGGGAGGTTCCAGACTTTATTTCCACTGTGCTAATGTCGTTGTTGCCATCAGCTGATAGAACATTCTGTTCTATTTCTTAACCTGTTAGTTATGTTATTTCTTTGCTGCAATTAACCCTTTTCTGTCAAGCAACTTTATGGAGAGAATGGCTATTTATGTTTTGTAATTAAATTAACCTGTTTGTAACTATTGTTTGGTTGATTTGGCTTTCAGAGTACTTTTCTATTCTTTTTAACAAGGTCTTGTTTGTGTCTTGAGGCACCGTTTTCCGCACCTGTGACTTTTTGTACTGTCCTGTGCACAAGCACTCTTCCTCTGTAAAGCTGAGACTTGGACCAGGCTGCTCAGAAAGCCATTTTTTCTCTTTGTTGCACAGCTAAAATAATGAAGTAAAATAGAAATGAAACTTTCCTTTAAAAATCTATAGGGCCAGACTTAATAAATTAAATGCCTTATTCCTAGAACCTGCATCCTTAGGGCTACATATAGATTTTAATGTGTTTTAAAGAGACTGAGAAATTAATTTGTGGAAAAGTTATAAAAAGGCAGATATATTTATGAAATTAAAGTGAAGCTGTATTGTGGAGCAAAGTATATTTAAAGAGTTTATTAAACCTTAAATATCTGTTAAGAGCAAAGAGACTTTAATCATCTCTTTCTGCGGGCAATAACGGTATTGGGCCTGGCCTAGGATTTAATTTTGTAAGATGTATCATCATTTGTGGAAAAAAAAGAAAAATGTAGAGTTGAATCTTTGTTATTTTTACTTGGACTGTTGCTGCAACTCTGCATTGAACAAATAAAGCATATTTATTTATTCTGTGTTTCATGAAGTTGTACTTTTTCCCCTTTCACCAGAGAAGGATGCCGCATAGAGAATGTCCTGAAGAATATCAAATGCAGAAAGTATGCTTTCAACATGCTACAGCTGATGGCTTTCCCCAAGTACTACAGACCTCCAGAGGGGACTTATGGAAAAGCCGACACCTAAATTTACCAACATGTAAATAAACAGGAACACAAATACGCTTCACTTGGATAATCTCCACCTTTTTCATTTTTTTATTGTTATGAATTTGTGGATGGAGGTGATCAGGGATGTTTGCCCCAATCTCAGAAATATTTGAATTAGTTACCAGCATATTACTCTAAAAGATATCCATTTAAAAAATTCTTAAATAATTTGTGTTTCTCGTTCTAAGCTTCTAGGTATTGACCCCCTTGCTGGTTGAGATCTGCTCAGAAAGTGTTAATTTCACTCATGAAGTATTTTAAGGAAAGACTCTGAGAAAATATAGGTTGCTACAAGAGAGCTAGAAGTGGTTCAGAGAGTGGCACTCTCCCTGCCAAATGAGGATAGGAGAGTGTAAAGGGGAGAGAGACTTTGAGATATTATTTCACAGCCTTTCTCACACATCACCTTAGAGCCCATTTGTGGGATTTAAAAAATATTTTTCTGGTGAATTGAAATTAGGTAGAGTTAACTCATGATCTTGACTACGGAAAAGTTAACAGGTGTGCTTGCAAAGACTTGTATCATTCAATTGAGGTTTGACTTCTCTTCCTAAACAGATAGATGAACAGTGTTAGTAAAGCAGTAAAGTTACTTTTTAAAAACATAGTATCTTTTTAAAACTCTGACTTGGATTGTATGGCCCAGTTGTAGAAGTGGCAATAGAGAAAATTTTATAGTATAATAGCCAAAACACTGTGAGGAAGTGAAACTGCCAGGAAATTAAAGATGATCAGCCTGTTGATGTCCAAAATGAAAATTCTCGTCAGCCTGAACTTTATGTAGTCAAGTTCATGAAAGTCAATAAAATATCTTTGAGATGTTTTCTATCAGTCATCTTGGCATAGAATATAGAGAGTGTAAGTGTGCATTGTCTTGTGTAGATTAGTATAGGTGAATAAACCTTTTAAAACATATGCAACCATAACTAATGATAAACCAAAACAATTATTTCTGTTAACCCGAATTTCAAATTTGTCCTTATTCAATAAAATAACACCATAGGTTTTCCAAAATTCCAAATTAGAAGTTGACTTAGAGATCATTTTGTATAACACCATTATAAATGGATAGATAAAGCACAAAGGAAAATATGCCCCCAATCACCCAGCGAGATAATTTTAGAACCATGCTTACAATCTCTTCTTACCTTCCTAGTCTGTGGCTTGACTCTTCTCCAAATTTCCATGTTAAATATACATGAATATTAGGCAAGAATGCTAGATAGTTAAATAGAAATTGGCATTTATCACTGGAATTGATGCTTAGAGTACAAAGGTCTGAACAAATGAAACCTATTTTCTCCAAATTTTAAGAATTTGTTCTTTTTCTCTTCTCATCAGAGGAGAGTGCCATCTAGAGGCTTGGAAATGCCAGAGGTTTATTACATAGACATCCCTTAGCTATGACCGCATTCAACAGTCGATATTATGGGGCTTCCATAGCTAATGTGATAGCTCCTTGACAAAAATGCTTGCTGAAATAAGGATTCCAAACAGATCTCTAGACTCATGTTGGGTTTTTCAAATTACTACAAATTTGAGATAACCCTTTGGGGCTTTTAATATTAAAATTATCAATCTATTATTTTAGCTAATGCCTCATGGGCATTATACTCGAGGCAGTTGCCAAACTATTTACAGCCTTTTTAATAAAAAGGTACTGTCTACTGTGGATCTACTTATGGACAAAGTTATCTTGGTGTTCTCATTTATACCTCATTCTCCATTTCAGTGATTAAATACAATCTTTGAATTGTTCAATTTCATTTGAAAATGGTAGGATTTGTGGTTATTTTCATTATCCCATTGGATTTAGGGTAAAGAGGCTGAGATGACAGAGGTTTCCTTGAATAACTATGAAACCTCATTCAGAGGCTTCCAAGAGACCTTAAGTGATTTATCATCCTGTAAATACTCTTATAAACAATAATTTCTGTTTGTATTTTTAAAGATGAAACCTCTTGACTCATATATGGAAAAAATATTAATTAAATAGAAACCCAACAATAAGATTTTCTATTTTTGGAAGACATTGCAAAGATTATTTTTTTTTAATAAGTACTAAAATAGAAGTCTCAAAGAGTAGAGCTTGCTGTAATACAAATGCATATAAGTTTTTAATATTAGCATAGTCATCTGCATTTCCCCGTAGGAAGCCTCTATTTGTGCATACTTTTAAAAGTGGATTTCATCAGGAAAATTTGTGTTTCTATCAACAATATTGCTCCTTTCCTGAGAGATATTCCAAGTATCCTTAGAAAACATCTTCACTATTTCTTAAGTTAAGGCTTTCTAAATCAAAGAGCCAATGTTAAACAAAAAGTTTTAAAATCTCCTTTGTACAAACACAGCCTCAGTCATGCTTTTCTATCTATATTTTCATTTAAAAGATACACCAGCAGGCCTATTTTAGGAGATCATGTTGAGCTAGAAACTGAACCAAGAAAATGACATTTCCAAACAAGATAATTTTTTTTTGCTCAAAAATATTTCCCCTCTAATATCATCAAATGTAGATATCTATTCTTATTAGCTATTTACAGAGTCCTACAGAAAACATATTTAAAAATAAGGAAAGGTGGAATCCTATTACCTTTGACCCAGTGACAAAAGATCCAGGACCTGGAATTGTTCCACAAAGCAGCTAAATGTAAAAGTTTGAAATATTCGATTGAAGCAGAACCACCCTGAGATATACCCATTCGTTTATGATGTGCTGGTTTTCTTCTTGTAAATATTGCCTTGGATTTGTCTACACTCTGCCAAAACAATCTTTCAATGTAAATAGTTTGATCAGTCTAATAATCCAGTGAGTCAGAGCAACCATTTAATCCAGCTGACAAATTGTGCTAAAATGACCAACCGCCCAGTTAGAGCAATACGCCATGTAACTAACCTCCAGTCCTCGCTTTATAAGACTAACACCTTTTCCTCTGAAAAACTGGGAAGTCTTAAAAGCTAGCATCTGGATGGAGGGTACTTCCCTTTCTTTTCCTCAACTAAGTATGCAACTATCAATTTTGCATAAAATAAGACTCCAAGTAGAAAAGACAAAGGTTTGTATGGAGTAATGCTTTTCTTCCCAAGCAAATCAAATCCCTCCCTATGTAAAGTTTGATATGTGCCAAGAAGAGATGATACCAGTGGTGTGCTGGAACTGGCTCATGCTGACTCATGAGAATTGATCATTAAATTTTCAGGAATTTTGTAAGCCATTAGTGAAATACAACCGTCGTTAAATATTAAATTATAAAATACAACTGAATAAATTTTATTAAAGGCAAAGATAATAATCAAAACTTACCACTTCCTGATTATTTTACTACATTTACAATTTATCTGTGTTCTTCAGGTTATTTATGTCAATTGTTTCAGTACAGTTGAAATAGTATGTTATAGTGTGCCACTGTGTATCTCTTCCTGGCTTCCCATTCAGTAACATCACATTGGTAGCTTGAAATTGACCACAGTGGGAGTATTTACACCACAGAAATTGCCAAATGCTGCAAACTGGGGCTTTTAGTTCCTGGAAAGCCAGTTATTAAACATTTACTGGCACACAACTAAATTCCACCATCATTTTTTCTCCAGAAAATAACAAGTCATTGGAAGCAGTATCAAATTATTAAAATGATATTGAATGCAATCACTCATCTTCAGATGGGTGCAATTTTGTTTTGGTTTTTACCCTCTTTAAAAACTCTTATTAGTCTATAAGTAATATTTGATGTTAATATTTTATTCATGATTAAATTATTTAATCATAGAGATGCATTTAAAAATGTATCGCTGTGGGATGTTTGGCAAGGCAAATCTTAGCAATGCAGCTTTGGTGTAAGCAATAACGGCTCCAGGCTAAATTCAGGGAAATGGTAGCCTAATTAGAGTATTACTGAAAATGTGCTTCAGTATCAATTTTTTAACTTTATAATTTTAGCATTTGCTAAAAGCAGGAAAAACAGTAACATATTCCTGTGTGCAGAGTCTAATTAATATAGCTCAGTTGGAACCCAAACTGTTAGATTAAACAAATTAAACTCTGGCAGTATGCTAAATCACCATGGATGTCTTAGGTGTTAGATTTCCAAACAGGATAGTATATCAATCCTTCAGTTCAATATAAAGGGCGTCTTTTCTAACCTTTTAGGAAAGAAATTAACTTTTATCACAGATTTAAGAAACCGGTCTGAGAAAAACTGTAATCAGCAGTTACAGAGGGAAATGAACATATTGAACACAAGGCATCCCTAATAGCTGAAGCTTTACAAATTATGCACTACTGAAGAGAATAATTTGCTGAGAGTTGTGTAGTTGATTGACAGTTTTAGCATGACTTCACATTCATTTAGCCCAGCTGCAATCTGCAAAGGCTATGCTTTTTTCCCCCCGTATTTATCTTTCATTGCTTTATAAAACAAGTCCAATATGTTATATCTTTTGTTTCTTCAGCAGTTTTAAGTTAGAACTTCCTCTCCAAACAGATGCTATATATAGTAAAAACTGTCTTTAAGAACAGGAAAATGAAATTAATGTTTTAGATACAATATTGCAGGCCAATTAGTTATAGGGTTAAGGTATAGGAATTTGGGTTTTTATTTTCTGAGTCGTAGTGCACATGAAACACTCTTTGAATTTTATTTCTAAGCAAGTAAGAGAAAGTCTAAAACATTTCTGATGTCAAAGAAACAAATCATATATGACTTTTAGTAACAAGGAGTTGGAAAAAATTGTAAGGCAATATTAACCAGCAACAAAAAAATACATGTAATAATCTCTCCTGAGCTTGAATTTTTATAGATTACATGAGTATTTAGAATTTTAAGTTGAAAAAGGAAAACAAGGCTCACAATTAAGTATAGTACCCAGAGAGAGTGAATATCAAGGGAGAGACCTAATACAATTGATATTGCCTGAAAAACCATATCTTGCTTATCTTTTAGAAAATATAGTTCTTTACGAAGATGTTGCACTTTCACACACATTCACAATCTTCCTAAAATCATCTAAATTACTCCAAAATCATAAAAGGGCACAATCCAACCATACATCTTTGATGATGACTTGGTA